CTTCTGTTTGGATAGACCTAGGACAAATCCTAAAGTTATTACAATGTTTGACTATGAGTTGAAGAACAGGAAGCAATGTCTGTCTTGCCACATTAAAACAGACTGCCAAAGCACCTTATTTGGTAATAAGCTCAATGGCTTTGCTCATTGCTGATGGATGCTCCAGAAAAAGGGACAAAAATTTCTCTGACACCAAACCAAAAATCACCTGGATGTTTGAGCAAAATGGATCATTATACTTACTGCCGTCCCTTTCACCAAGTTTAATTTATCACTATCTTTTTTTTTTTTTTTTTTTGGACAGGGATTTTGTCAAGGAGGCTTTAGCATTGACTTTACAAAGGTAAGTGGTACTCATTGGATATAATCTATTTTCTTGAATCAGCAGATAATTACAAATGACAGCAGTTCCAACCAATATGTGATACAAACACATATCTATTTTTTAAAATAAAGAGATATCATTCTTGATGAGCCCTGATCCTGCCAGGTGCTGAGCACCTCAGTTGCGAAAGATCTTGCTGGATATAAGTAGCATGCATTTCCAGCTTTTTTGTCAGTGGTACCTAATTATTTGTTTGATCTTTGCTGCCACTAGTCTCAGGTCAAATGAAACGACAATAATCTTCAAATCTTATTTGATACTCAACCATACACCGTTCACTTCAAATCACTAAGTCAGTTCTCTTAGGGTATGTCTAGACTACAGGCTTTTGTCTACAGAAGTTTTGTCGACAGATACTGTCGACAAAGCTTCTGTCGACAAAGAGCGTCTACACTACATTCAGTTCTGTCGACAAAGCAAGCTGCTTTGTCGACATGGTAGTGTAGACGCAAAGGACAGTTTACATGCAATAACACCTTCCGTCGACAGAACTCTGTCGACAGAAGGCGTTATGCCTCGTAAAATGAGGTTTACCAGCGTCGACAAAACTGCTGAGTTCTGTCGACATTATGTTGACAGAACTCAGCGGTAGTGTAGACGCAGGTATAGTTTTGTCGACAAAAGTGGACTTTTGTCGACAAAACCCTGTAGTCTAGACACACCCTTCGAGGCACAACTTGCTCTGAAAGGGAAAATATTAACCCCTCTCCCCCCACTCTCTCCCTTAGTTCCAAATTACTGCTGCTTATTGAGACATAGTGTGACATTTTCGACATCTTCTTGCTTCTTTTCTCTCCTTATGTATGTAGGTTGGTTTTTGAAAATGTATTTTTCATATTTTTTACAATTTTTCTTTTAATAGTAGAGTCCCTATCATCTGACGTAAACGGGACCGACACCTGGTCGGATTACTGAATATGTTGGATGATAGGGACTGCTGCCGGAGAAGAAGTGGCCCCAGCAGGAGCACCATCAGCTGCTCCTAGAGAGCACGGAGACAGCTGCTGCTGCTGCTGCTGCTAGGGGAGAAGCTGC